GCCGAAGCCCCCCCCCCAGTGTTCTTACCCTGCTCCAGCACTATGTACTGATCAAAGTACTCGTAACCACCTCCCAACTAAGATGGGCTGTCATTCCAAAAGATGCATTTTATTGATATTGAATACAGAGCTTGCTGCACGTGGCTTAAATTCTGACTACTTGTGTAACACAGGTCGTATTCTAGGGGCCAACATTTTTGACAGGCATGTCCCAAGATAAGCCCTGTACTCCCTGAAGTGCCACTGTGATCCCCTTCCCCTGTTGCTCTGCTTTCTGGTCCCTGCTTGAGGCTCCCTGCCTGATCTGTTGCTCTGCCCTCTCTTCCCTGCATTCCCTGCTCCCTCCCACTCTGTTGCATGCCACATTCAGAGGCTGCCCACCCCTGGACTAGGTGATCTTAAGGGACCCTTATGCCCTGAATCTGAAAAAAAAGGGGGCAGGTAGGACAACTTTCTCTCTCGCCCTTCTCCCTCTTTCTGCTCCTCCCATGGTCTCCTCTTTCCCTTCCTTTATCCAGCTCACCCCTGTTCCTTCCTTGTCCAGTTCAGGCCCAGAACTGCATATAGGATGAGCTATTCAATTAGCACCAGTCCTCCTCCCTGCTGCCCACGGTTTTTTTGGCCAAGGTGTGTCTATCAAAATGGCATACAAGAGCTATGAAACACTGGTGAATTGCTATCGGTCATCTTTCTGCACCTGCCTTTGTTAAGGTCCTCAAATTTTGCCCCCTATAACAGGGCCATCAGTCTCCTGCTGCGGGCTGCAATGGCCCATGGGACAGTAACCACATTCCCATCTGGAACAGAGAGGCTACAGGAGCTAACATTGTTATTTATAAGAACTCTCTCCGTGACTTCTCTCCCTCCCACCTTATGTTTGGGCGGGGCCCTATCTTCCAAATCTAGCGTAGGACTTGATTAGGCCTGGCTGAAAGAGTTGGTGCAGTGTAGGGGAAGATGCCAATCACATGGTGAATTTCATTGACTGGCATTTCCAGGGAAGGAGCACACAGAAGGCAAGAATCTGGGCTCTGTCTAGGCATTTGCCTATGGTGCATCACAAACTGATCAGGTAGGTCAATGTGTTTGGTGCATTTGCCCTTGATATCCCTATTATCCACCAGCAAACTCTGTTTCAACCAGTAATTTGGATCTTTGTTAAACAATTTGGCCCGAAGTCAACTTAGACCCTGTTTCCCCTGGGAAGTGTTTAGCTCCCAGAACAGAAGGAATTTTCCCAGGTTTTAGCCCAGCAGCCTTAGAGGCAGAGCCCTCACCCAGTACTGGAGAACCTAGACTTGGATCCACCTCACCCAGAGGGGGACTTGAGCCTGCATTTCCCATTTTTCAGCTTGGTGGTCTAGCTACTAAGGCTGTGCAAAGCTTCGGATCATGATTCAGATTCGGAGATGATTTAGATGATTTGGAGGTCGAATCTGTAAATCCAAATCAAATTGCGGGAAGCTTTAGGCTTTCCGAACTGATTCAGAAAAGATTCGGCCATAGGGTATAATGGGGAATCAATTAAATATCTATAACTTCATTGTCTTTTGGCTGATTCAGATGAAACATGCAGGGATGGTAGCCTCTGTGGAGAGCATGATGCATGCCAAGTGTCAAGGAGATAGGTGTAGGGGTTTGGGGGAAACTGCACCTCAAGCTGTGAACAAGCAAAACTCGTGACATGAGTTTTGCTTTCAAGAATTTGGGGTGCAGTTTCCTCCAAACCCCTGCACTTATCTCCTTGAAACATGGCAGGCTTTGTGGCCTCAGCAGGGGCTAGCATCCCTGCAGTCTTCACCCCCACTGTGGCTTAACACACATGTGACATGAGTTTTGCTTTCAGAACTTCGGGGTGCAGTTTCCCCCAAACCCCTGCACCTATCACCTTGAAACATGGCACATGTCACGTTCTCAGCAGAGGTGACCATCCCTGCAAGTTTCATCTGAATTAGCCAAAAGACAAAGTTATAGATATTTCATTGATTCCCCATTATACTCTATGGCCAAATCTCCGAACCCGCCCTGAATCGAATTGGAAAAATGCTTTGGATCTCTGAATTGAATCTCTGGCATCCGAACTGGCTGAATCCAAATCGAATAGTTCCCTATTTGCACAGGCCTACTAGCTACCAACCCAAGGGCAATGTGTTACAAAGAGCATTCTCCAATCTACTCCACTGAAGTTAGGCCAATGGCAACCAAGAGGGCAATATATATGGGGCAAGGAGAGAAGGAAGTGTGAGTGTGTGGCTCAAAGTAGGCCCCTCTGCTCCTCCTGGCCCTATACCCCTCCTAAAGACACAAACACACTTGCATTTTTGCCATCAACAGACATGGGCTAAGGTGGTCAGATAATAGCAGCATAGTTCCTGTGTCACTGCAAGCAGGAACATAGTCCAGGGTCCCTGGCTTGATAAGGCAGAAATCATCTCAGCCCCACTCTCTTGGCCCCACATATCTTCCCTTCTTTACTGCTGAGGGGTGGGGGGAGAGGGCTTTTCCAGCTGCCCTTCACAATATCTAGCCTTGGGACTGCTGGTTAGGGCCCTCTGCTCAGAAATAGACATAGTTTCACCACCGTGCATTAAAATGAGAACACTTAAAAGATGGGTCTGCTACTCTCTGGGCAAATGACTCTTGTTCATTTTTTTCTGGAACTTGGGAAAACTGTCAGGAGGACACAGGAAGCTGTGCAAGGAGGAGTTGGATCTTTAAAAAAAAATTTCAAGTGACTCAACAAGTGGTTTTTGTGGCTAATAGCAGGGGGAGTGGGATTTGGGCTTTGATGCTTGACTAAATCAGCCTGCAGGGTGGTAGCCAACTGAAGATGATAAGAATTGTTGTTTACTAGGTCAAACTATAGATCCCATCTGGCCCAGATCCTGTGCCTCACAGTGGCAGAGTGGATGCAGAAAGGGAGAGTGAACTGGGTATGACCAGGGTTTTGTCCCTTGTTCCTCTTACTTGCAGCCTCCAGCATTTAAGATCTGATAAGGTCTGATTCACAGACTGTGCCCCTCACTCCCAGGCTCAATAGGTACTGATGCACATTACCTCCAAGAATTTTTCCATTACCTTTTTGAATGTGGCTAAACTGTCAGCTTCCACAACATCTGGTGGCAAGGAGCTCCACTTAAAACACATTGTGTGAAAAAACTTCCTTTTGTTAGGTTTAAACCGTCTACCTACTCATTTTATTTTGTGACCCCTAGTTCCTTTCATTGGAATGGGAGCATTCACTCTTAACTCCATATGATGTATTAACACTTACCTATTACCATTTCATTACTGGATGGCAGAGTTCTTTTTTTTTGTCTTCAAGTTTTCTGCGTGTGCATGCCCACATGTGTGAGGGGGCAGTGAGGGGTTGTAAAATGATTTACTTCTGAACCATGCATTCTGGCAATGATGTATTACACCAGATATTTACCAGACTTGGCCTTTCATCCATGAACCAAAAGAAAAACCACGCTCATGAATATTCACAGAAAGTCAGGAAGGCTGTGAATACTAGTGAGAATTTGCTAGTCTTACTCCAGTTGGTTTTTTTTATAGATTTTTTTCTGCAGTATTTGCTCAAATCTATCAAAACATGAGTCAATATAGTGTTACCTTCTCATGCAAGCAAACGCCTAGAGCTGAAAGAGCAGGAGCTACTAGATTTGTTGCAGTAAGAGTCATTGGCTAGGGACAGAGATTACACAAACTAGTATAAGTGGTCGGAACTCAGTTCAAATCTGTAACACAACAGAATTTCAGCACACATAAACCACTTTCAAAGCGACTAAAACCAATTTAAAAAACTTGGATGGATATAGTATCGGACTGAACTGATTTAGGTCCAATCAGTTTATTGAACTTCTGTCCAAGATCCCCTCCAGATTCAAGTTAACTCACAAGCCCCCAGCATCCCAGGATGCTTTGCACCTCCCCCACCAACCCCGCTTCAGAGGGTGGGCAGGATAGCCTTGGCCCAAGATGTCTGCTCCAGCCAAGCAGAGAGGCCTTCTGACTGCAGGGAGGCATGTGGCTGCATCTCCGGAATCAAAAGTGAATGTCTGTCCACTTGCTTATTGATTCAATCTATGCAGCTTAGACTGACCTGCAAAGATTGAACTGATTCAGCCTCGGGCTTTTTGCCTGTCTGTGCTTAACCAGTGGAATCAGATAAGGCATAGAATTTAGGTAGGGAACAGCAAGTGGTGCTGCAGGGTAGGAATAAGGAAAGTCAAAGGTAGCTCCTCTACTAGCAGTAGGTCTAACTTAATGCCTGTAACTGCCAATATTGACAGTTGAAAGGACCACTATCCACTTGGACTAATTATAATCTGTGTTGTGCATTAGTTTTGACTCAAATATTTAATTTCATTGTTTGGGGGGAAGATATTTAACAACAGAACCCAGCTCCATGCATTATTACCAAAAGATTGCAGGAAATTTTTTAAAAGCTTATATACCTATACATGTATAATTAGTCAACATCTTCCCTTTCCCCTAGAAAGGTAGTGGCATCATCCCTCATTCACTCCATCTTAAAATTAGACATCAGCCTATTCACCTTCTGTCAATAATCTGCTCAGACTGCTCTGGCTGAGTCATAGAAAGGCAGGCTCATAAACTCTCCAGGTGCTAGGCACCCCAAGGCCACCCATCTTTTGTAGCTACCATGCCATTAGATGGCTGTAGATACATTTTACCAATCCAATCTGGGCAAGAAACATGCAGTTAAAATGTGAATGCTTCACACTCCTTGAAGTGAACTTGCCAAGGGCCTTGCTTTGTTCACTGGAAGTCCCAACGTCAGGCCACCAACAACTGGTTGACAAGCTGCTATTTAGGAGCACCAGACATACCTGCTGAAGGTGGCCCAATGAGCACAGCAACAGCTTCAATGAGCAGGACCAGCCCAATGGCACTGGAGAACTTCTGGGAACCAACTATGGCCATCAGCACTTCAAACTGCAGTGCACCCACCATCCCATAGGAGATGCCAAAGAAGACACAGAAAATGACCAGCGCTGTGTAATTGCTAGCTCTGGCACTGCAGATATCTGTCAAGCCATTGAAGAGCATAGCAAAGCTGAACAAGTAGGCCACATGAGGACGGATAAACTTCAGCCCGGCCACTACCCCACAGGAGGGTCGGGCAAAAATGTCTATGAAGCCAATAATGGAGAGCAGGAAGGCAGCCTCTGTGTCTGGCACTCCGATGTCCTTAGCATAGTTGACCAATAAGATAGGGGGAACAAAGAGACCCAATACCAGGATGAACTTAGAAATGGCATAGATGACAAACCCCCTGTTGGAAAAAATAGAAAAATCCAACAGCTTCTTCCCTTTTGGGGGCTTCTTTTTCTTGGCTTTCTTTGACTTGGCTTCATTGGTGGTGGTCATGGCCTCCTCTGTCTTTTCCCCCATTGGCAGCATTTCCTTAGCTTCATATTTGTCCTGGACCTTCTCCATCTTCCGCTTCATGCTCATCTCCAGGGGTCTCATGACAGCTCCACAGGTGCAGCAGTTGAGCAGCAACCCCCCCATGATGAGGAACCCCCCTCGCCAGCCAAATTTCTCAAGCAAGACTTGCCCCAGAGGAGAGAGGGCAGAAAGGAAGACAGGGCTCCCAGCTGCAGCAAGCCCGTTGGCCAGAGGTCTACGTTTGTCAAAGTAGGAACCAAGCATGATCAAGGAGGGCTGGAAGTTCAGAGCCATACCTAGACCTGCAGGTGGGAACAGGGGACAGAGGTAACAGAGAGTGATTGGTGTGAAACAAGGAGGCAAAAGGATCTCAACAAATTAAACCTTTCCTGAGGTTCTCCCTACATTCACTCTACCCCAGCGCCAAATCTTAGTTGTTCGCACAGCTTTGGTGTGTACACATAAAAACACGCATCCCCAGGTCCCAAAGAATTGCCGTTCCACTTGGTGTGTCCCACTGTCCCCTGCCTTCAGCTATGGCATGCTAACCACCAGGTTGTCCCATCATTGCCTACATGGACTTCACCACCACCACCTTAGTTGGGTTCTTCTATTTTAAATTCTTGAGCAGGTCCAGTGAAGCCCAGAAGAGAAAAAAGGACAATGGACCAAGGTTTTCACTTAGAGCTGTGGATGTTTCCTTCTTCCAAAATATCTGACCATCCATTGTTCTCTTCCCCTCACTTCCCCACTTCCCATGTCAAAATGACTCTACTTCTGTATGTAGGAGACTGCACAGAGTTCTTCACTTCAGCTCAAATCCTGTTTTGACAGTGAATGAGCCAACCCTAAAAGGTTGATCAGGTCCTTCCCACCATGTTATTAGCCTTTGCAAACTATGGAGCAGGAGTCCTGGACAGTGAGGTTCATGGGCCTGCTCTACCTGCTGCTTTACAACACATGCCTACAACTCCATGTTAGGCCAAATCAGGGCAGGGTGACAGAGGCACTGGCTCAGAAATGAGTTAGATTTCCTAGGCAACAGCCAACTTCATCAGATGCTACTTCACAGTAACCTATGAAAGCTCATGTTTCTGTGAACCGGTTAATCTCTAAGGTGACACCTTGTGCCTAACTTCAGACTAACACCACTAACCACATCTCAGTTCCATGTTGGGATGTGGGGGGTGCCTGAGCATTCACAGGGAAGGGTCCAAGTCATAGTTCAGACGCCCCCTCCTGTCCTCCAGCTTCAAGAGCCAGTGGCATAAAGCTTGTGGCTTCTATAGCTGACACAGCAGGCTCTCCTCAGTAGTCATAGCAGCATCCTGAGCTGATCCGCACTATCTGTGAGCAATCCTCTTCCCTTAGCCAGCAAACACAGAAAAAGGGGCAGAAGCCACAGCATTTATCTTCATGGTTCTTGCCCACTCCACAGTTGTCTCCATGCTGCACACCCCTTATCCTACCTGGACATGTATTTCTTCCATGGACTCAGAAACTTTGTATGTATTTCTTCCATGGACTCAAACTCCTGGCATCCCAGAGGAACCCAGGAGCCCTCCAGCACTTTTCCCATCATTCCCTGCTCTAGTTGGGACTCCCTCAGGGGAAATGCAATAGAAGTTTCCCAGGCTGAACTGTATTGAAACAGATCCACAAGTCCAGATTGGGGGGGATGTCTCCATTCCTTCCATCTCTGTATTTACATAATTTTTACATCTTGAGTCACTGTAGTACCTAGAGATTATCTGTTTCTTCTGACTCTAAGTAACTTCCCAGCACAAGTCCTGGCTTTGTATATCTGATGGGCTTATCCCCCATAAACATAGATGTTCCCCTTCTGGGGGCTCTTACCTGTCAACACACCAGCTGTCAGATACAGCTCAATAATATTGGTGGTGAAAGAGGCTAGGATCATCCCAGAGGAAGCCAGGAGCCCTCCAATAAGCATCACAGGCCGGCATCCAAACTGGTTCACCATGATGCTACTCACCGGTCCTGCATGGGGCAGAAAAGCCAGAGAGGAACAGAATGAAAAAGGGTCGAGGTCAGTGAGGACAGATCAAATTCCTCACACCCCCACAGCAAGCAAATGAAGGGATTCTAAAGCCAAAGAAACTCCCCTTACGTCTCCAAAGGAGGACTAGAGACCAAGCTCAAGGATATGGACACAGAAATGTGAACCTGTGGGATTCATGTCCTGAACTGTCACTCACTTTGAAGCTGAATGTGGCTGTCTCTATATTGCACTGAGCCCTTCCTGCCCAGTGAGGATGGAGAATCAGTGACAAGAGCAGAGAGAGACACCTCTGTACCCAACTCGTGAAGATGAGGAGGAGGTGAGGTTCAAGGGAAGAGACAGGATGAGGATGTCTCTTGGGGAAGGGAGATTTGGAGGATTAAATCAACACAGCATTTATCCCCCTTGTAGGAGAGGTCTTGTCAACAGAGGCCTCCAGTCAGCCCTACACATGTGCCCCTTCCACATCTCGTTTTTAGTAGTGAGAGGGGCTGAAAAACACTGAGAAATGTGAGTACACACAGGGGACACCAGCCCTATGCTGTACATTCATGTATGCAGAGGAGGGGCCTGGAGCTTGCCCTCGCACACTCACCTGTCCCATATAGCATGGCCAGCATGATGGAGGAGATCCAGGCTGTGTCGCTGTAGCCCACATGGAAGTCCCGCATCAGTTCTTTGAAGTAGACACTCACAGCCTTGGGGAAGGCGTATGAGAAGCCAGTGATCACAAAGCAGCCCAGCAGCACCACCCAGCCCCAACCACCATCTGGGGGCTTCACTGGTGCTGGCAGCTGGCCCTCCTCTGGGTCAGACTGCCCCATTTTCTAATTTGCCTGGGAAAACGCAACACCAAGCAGGAGAGCAAGAGGAGGCAGAGCAGGCAGTCAAGTGAGCTCTCCAAACACTGCAGAAAGAGAAGAGCAGATAGGACAAGCATTTACTTCTCCCTGAACTCACCCACAAGGAAGAAGGGAGGTGCGCAAGCTCCACGTGTCCCAGCACGTGCCGCCACCACTCCTCATCACAGTGCAAGCCACCAAGCAGGACACTGGGTTGGGCATCAGGAGATCATGGTGGCAGCTGTCCACAGCGCTACAATCTCAGGCAGGGCACTTTCCCTGGAACTTCCCAGGTAGCATTTTTGTGTATGCCACCTGGAAGCCCTTCAGGGACATCACTGAACATATTTGCCTTTGGTGTCACATGGCTGGTACATGGTTGCAGCTGGGGCTTCTAACTCTTATTCTAAGTCCTAAACACACTACCCACAACCCTCCCCTGTGCACACAAGCACACACGCTCCTCCCCACAATCTGGAGCTGCAGTGGAGACTGATTTTTCTATGGGGAGGAGGCTGTCATGCAAGCTGTGTGTGTGACAGATTAGGGCTCTGTACATACATGGCATGCCTGGCAGAAAGGCAGGGGGAATTAATGGGGGCACCTTTAAGTTTCTCTCCAGGCCCTTAAGCTAGCGAAGAATGTTGCTCCCATTGGCCAGCCTCGGTTTGTGTTTCTCCTTTCTCCAACACACGGCAGGGTGCCTGTCATGAGCTTTCCAAGGCTGATCATCAGCCAGCTCTTGCCTCTGTTACCTGCTAGCTTTCCCATGTCTGCAGGCACATGCTCTACACTTCCCTGGGCCAGGGCGCACACAGCATGAGGCCTGGTGCATTCCAGATGACTCGCTGCTTTACAGTTCAGACCCCACCATTTTTGGTTTCTGGCCCTGCACGAGTGACCAAGGGCCTGCTCTGCTGGCTTCCCTTTCCTCCCAATCTGTTGTCTGTGGCGCTGCCTAGAGAAACATCTTCACAACCCATCTCTGCCAGGCCTGAGAAGTCCTAGTAATCCTGATCCGTCTGAATTGCTATGGGCCAAAGAGGCAAGGCTGCTCTTGTGGACAAGGCCCAGGACAAGGAAATACGTGGCACAGACTCTGCATGTGACCATAAGCAAATTTTCTCCCCTCTCTGCCACCCAGGTAAGCAGGATGTTTGACCTGCTTCTCCACCCCCCACTTGCAAAGTGTTTCAAGCTTCTCAGGTGGCACTGCTGAGTGGTGTTATTAAGGGTACAGTGCACTCAGAGGTATGAAGGGAGGAACAGATTACACTGAATAAAAAAGCAGGTGTATCATCTCCTGCAGGGTAATTATTTCATGTGCCCACTCTCTCAATGAAGTGGAAGCAAAATTGCAGTCAATGTAATCCTGTTCCATGCATTCACTGACCTTCCACTTCCCCTGGCATAGGAACAGACACGCAACAGTTACTAAGCATCAGCTGACACGGTGACCCCTCTCTCCCCCAACAGTTCTCTCTCTCATTATAACTTGTTTTCTTCACTCATGCCCTGAGGAACCTTGTTCCTGAGAACAGCAGTGCTGTTGACAGTTGCCTTGGACTATTTAATGGGAATGGGCAAAAGCTGTTTATGGCACTTGTACACTGAGAAGTCTGATCAGTCTTTGGGGAGTTACTGGACAAAGTGACCTGGTGGGGAGATGGGGGAGAACTCACAGCAAGGATGGATTCAGGCAACTCCTCCCTTGCCTTCTTCTAGTCACCAGTTCCTTGCATGCAGCACCAGGACCCAGTAAGCAGTAAGTACTTCCTACACAAAGCACGCTGAACCTGGATGAAGCAGCCTTGAGAACTGGCACCCACAAGTTGCCACTACCTTGACCTCTTAGACAGGTTTGGGAAGCATGACACTGAATGTTCATGCAGCATCTTACCTGTTTGAAGTCTTATATGCACATTAGCCCATGCACCCTTGTATTTCTTTGCACAGAGAAGAAAAATACTACTTGCCTGAGAACCTAGGACTAAACCTCAATTCCCCAATTCCTCAGCGCA